CAGTCAGGCGAAGTCCCTGGTGACTGGAAGAAGGGAAACATTGTGCCCATTTTTAAAAAAGGGCAGGAAGGAGAACACTGGGAACTTACTAACCTGTCGGCCTCACCTCTGTGCCTGGGAAGATTATGGAACAGATCCTTCTAGAAGCTACGCTAAGGCACATGGAGGACAGGGAGGTGATTCAAGACAGCCAGCACGGCTTCACCAACGGCAAGTCCTGCCTGACCAACCTAGTGGCCTTCTAAGATGGTGTGATTAGATCAGCGGACAAGGGAAGAACTATGGATGTGATCTATCTGGAGTTCTATAAAGCCTTCAACACAGTGTCTCACAACATCCTTCTCCTTAAATTTGAGAAATCCGGATTTGATGGGTGGACTGTTGGGTGGCTAAGGAATTGGTTGAAAGGTTACAGCTGGAGGGTAGTGGTCAATGGCTTAATGTCCAAATGGACACCGGTGACAAGTGGTGTCCCTCAGGGGTCCGTACTGGGACCGGTGCTGCTTAACATTTTCATCAATAACTTAGCAAGATGGAGTGCACCCTCAGGAAGTCTGCAGATGACACCAAGCTGAGTGGTGCGGTCGACACACCAGAAGCACTGGATGCCATACAGATGGGCCTGGACAAACTTGAAAAGTGGGCCCATGTGAACATCCTAAGGTTCAACAAGGCCAAGTGCAAGGTCCTGCACCTGGGTTGGGGCAACCTCCGCTGTCAATACAGGCTGGTGGATGAAGGGATTGAGAACAGCCCTGCTGAGAAGTACTTGGGGGTACTGGTGGATGAAAAGCTGGATATGAGCCACCAATATACACTCACAGCCCACAAGACCAACCATACCCTGGGCTGCATCAGGAGAAGCGTGGCCAGCAGGTCGAGAGAGGGAGTTCAGGCTGGCCAGTACTGTGAAGGACAACAAAAAGGGCTTTTTAAAATATGCTAACAACAAAAGGAGGAGCATCAGAGATTATAACATTGGTCCCTTGCTTGGTGAGGTTGGTCACCTCAGAAACAGGGATGTAGTCGAAGCAAAGACATTCAAAGCCTGCTTCACCTCTGTCTTTAACACTGATGAATGGCCCTAGGAACCCTGGAACCCTGTGTTACAAGTCTATGACTACGGGGATGATAAACTCCCAGCTAACTCTGAACTTGTTTGCGACTTGCTGCTCCAGCTGGAGGCACTAAGTCTCTGCGTCCCAGTGGGATTCATCCCAGAGTACTAAAAGAGTTGGCCGATGTTATTGCGGGCCCTCTCTCCATTATTTTTCAGTGGTCTTGGGAGTCTGGAGAGGTCCCAGTCAACTGGAAGCTGACAAATGTTGTCCCAGTTTTCAAGAAAGGTAAGAAGGAAGACCCTGATAATTACAGGGTCAGTCTCAATTCAGTGCATGGTAACATCATGGAGAAATTTATTCTGGGAGTTACTGAAGAACAACTGAGAGACAGTGCAGTCATTGGTCACAGCTAACATGAGTTCACGAGGGGAAAGTCCTGTTTAACTCAATTTCCTCTTATGACAAGGTCACCCACCTAGCTGACCAAGAAAAGCCAGTAGATGTAGGATTTATTGGATTTTAGCAAAGATTTTGATAACTGTCTCTCACAGCATCCTTCTGGACAAAGCGTCCAGCATACAGCTAGACAAGTCTATAATATGTTGGGTGGACAACAGGCTGATGGGTTAGTGGAGTTCACATTCCTGAGGGATATGGGAAAGGCAAGGAGTATAGTCAGGACCCTAAACTTTAGGAAAGCCAATTTCCAGCTCTCAAGGAGTTAGTCAGTAGGACTCCCTGGGAAATGGTCCTCAGCAACAGGGGGGCAGAACAGAGCTGGCAGATCCTTAAGGACGCTTTCCATAGAGCACAAGAGCTATCAGTCCCCAGGTGTAAAAAGTCAGGCAAGGAAGGGAAGAGACCAGCATAGCTGAGTCAAGACCTGCTGGTCAAACTAAAGGGCAAGAGGGAACTGCACAGGCAGTGGAAGCAGGGACAGGTATCTTGGGAAAAGGATAGGGATGCTATCCGGTTGCGTAGAGATGAGGTCAGGAGGGCCAAGGTGCAGCTGGAGCTGCACTTGGCAAGGAATGCTAAGAATAACAAGAAGGGCTTCTACAGGTACCTCAGCCAGAAGAGGAATGTTATAGAAAGTCTACCCCGCTCAATGAGCAAGAATGGCAACCTTGTATCAACAGATGAAAAGGCCAAGGTACTCAACTTTTCTGCCTCAGTTTTCACTGGCAACCTCTCTCCTCGCCCCTCCCCAGTTGATGGCCTGCCAGATGGGGACCAGAGGAGCAAAGTCCCTCTCACTGTAAGGCAAGACCAGGTTCAGGACTACCTGAAGAACCTGAACATACGTAAGTCTATGGGACCTGATGAGATGCATCCCACAGTCCTGAG